CTGTCCAGCCTCTCCTGGGTCCCTCTCCATGGGTCTGAACTTTTTGTGTGTTTTTTTTTGTTGGCTGGTATGCCAAAAAGTAAGCACAAACTATTTCTTATTCATTTCTAAGTAACCACTAGTTCAATTCTAATTTCATTCTATGAATTTTGACTTGAATGCAGCTTAACTAAATTCTAAGTCACTTCTTATTCTAATTGAATTCCACTTCTATTTCTATTTGCATTCAAATTTGAACCTAAGTGAACTTTAAATTGAATTTGACTTGAGTATGTAACACACTTTTTCTTTAATTCTAAGTTGAGCCTAATTGAATTCTAAATTAAGTCTATGTATTTTAAAATTCACTGTAATCAAATTATAATTCAACTTTTCTTATAATTTAATTCTATTATAGTTCTAATTATGTTTGACTACTCTGTATCTAATATTAAATTCAAATTTGAGCTTACATGTGAACATGCTTCTAATTTAATTCTAAGTTGAGCGTAACTGAATTCTATATAATTGAATTCAAATTGAGTCTGCCATTTTAATCAAATTGAATTTATTTATAACCTAATTCTAAATCAATACTGTTCTACTAACCAAGCCCTAGGTTAAACGTCTCTAATTCAATTCTACCTTAGGTCTAGGTCAATTTCAATTTAAGTAATGGGTTTTGATTTAATGTTGTTCATTCAATTCCAATTTAATTCCATTCTATTTATCAGCTAGTTCTATTTCATTTTGTTTTGCATTAAATTGTAATTTTGTCTATTACAATTTCCAATTTACTTGTAAATGATTTCTAATGTTAACGCCTTTATATAATTCAGATTCAATTGTTTTGCACATCTAATTTTCTAATTTGATTCCAATTCAATGCAAATGGAATTCTAATTGAGGTTTGCTTCCATTCTAGAGAGTGGGCATTGCTGGGGGTGTGAAAATATTTCATTAAAGAAAGCAAAAACTTCCATAATTATTGGAAAACCTTCATAAAAATCTTTCATGCTCAAAGCAAGACCAACTCCCTGGAAGCAAATGAGAATTTCATAAAATCCAAAGTTAAATTGAACAAGCATAAAATAGTAGAATTGAATCTGTATTGTATAGCAATGAAATTAAAGGTAGCTTGAAATCGAACTAACATTTGGCTTGCATTGAATCCCACATAAACTAGAATCTATAGTGAAGGAAACTTGAAGCAAAGTAGAATTAAACCATAGTTGACTTAGAGTTAGATCTAAATTTATATATAAATTTGAATTTGAATTGAATAAGAATTAAAAAAATGGTTATTTAGGGTTTGTAATTACTTGCCTTCTGATTCTGATGTACTTACCCAACTGCATTCAATAAGAGCAATACAATTCGCACTCTAAAAGCACGAAATATGGTTTTGCATGGGGGCTGCGTGGAATTAGATTACTACAGCCAAGAACTATTTAGTAAATACCTAGCCTTATGGACTTAAACATTTTTGTAGTTCATAGTTGAATGAACAAATATGCGTACCAACTGCACATAGAGCAGGAAAATCACAAGTTTCACAACCCTATCAATATGATATCATTCACCAAAAAGAGCAAAACCTTACAAAAGAAGAACTTTCACAACCCTATCAATGTCATATCATCTGCAAAAAGAGAAAAACCTTACAAAATCACAACTTTCACAACCCCACCCCCCATGACTACCCGCTCTCTCTCTCTCTATATATATCCACCAGATGCAGATTTTGTTGATCCTTACATCCCCAGGTCTCAGCCCACCGAGGGGGGTTGATGGCGTGTCCATGGGTGTTGTACTGAGGTGGTTGGCGCATCACGGAGAATCTTCATGTGAACGCTCGACTGAACAAGGCCATGGCGGAGGGTTCCACGGTCTCAACTAATGGAGAGACCTCCACATACTCATGCAGATTGTTTAGCAGCCCAAAGATTCCAAGTTTTGATCCACACCATGGAACTTGGGTGTGGCTGTTCTCCTTTTCCTGGTCTCACTGAGAGCCTTTCTGAGGCCTTGAGCATTTGGCCAGCACTTTTCGGTGGCGTGTTCTTCAGCTTTGGGGCTTACCTCATGTGCCTAGAGTCAATGTTTCTTGGCACCAGATTGGCAGAGTTTTTGCTGGCATGCATGTGCTGCTTCGTGGGGGGAGTGCGGGGTATGGAGAAGCGGGGGCATTTCGATGGGCTTCCTTCCACTCCGCACAGGAATGTGATGCGCGGCAGAGATACTTGGAAGACCAATTTGTTCAATCTACCTTCGGCATTGGTGCCTTTGTCTGCAGATCAAGCACCCTGGTGGTGTGAAGGTTATATAGTTATAGTTATATATATGTATATTCTCTGCCAGCTTAACATCGAAGCTGGCCACGTGCATTGGCGTGAGTAGTGTTTATCATGGAGGAACTGGAGGAAAGAAAACTTTGGGTCTAGTCCAGGCATACCTTGACTCTTGCAACGAGCTGAACCCAGAAGTCACCCGATTCTCAGCAGCATTATATAGATACTGGTAGCACATAGCATCAGTGCTCAGTGGCGAGCCTCTTGAATCCTCTATAGTTAAAGTTATATGTCCTTTGTGTATAAATATGTATATATACATCTATAAACTCAAGCCACTTTCCGGCAATTGCACTTTAGGAGCGGTTTGGGCTTGAGTTTGGGGAAGGCCAAGTTGAGGTTGTCCTCGCCCCACCCAGGAACGCCATATTTGGCCTCGATGGCCTACTTCGCACTGCGCTAAGACCTGCTTTGTTCCTCAGACCTGTTCGGATTCCCTGGCGGATGAGGTCGGCACATCGCTTTATCCCGTTGCATTAGTGGCAAACCTGTGGACACACCTGGAGCCTACGAGCAACCTGCACCTTGCATTGCATAGGCTGAGACAGGGTTATTGCAAACACTGATGCGGGTTAAGGGTTGCCTTCACTCACCCGTTTGCCAGTTTGCTGAATCATCTTTACGGTTGGGATTTCTATCATTTGTGGTGGCGAATGTGTTCTCGTGTGCCGTGTGCCTGAGGCTTTTGTCCACAATTCCCTACACTATTGGAGGCTGGTGTCATTTCCATTCTTGGCCCCAATGCAATGCCGCTGAACTCCAGAGCTTGACATTGCCGCCTTTCCCTTCATGCAGGCATCTTCTTTGTTGTAGCCGGCTTTTTGGAGTGTCTCGAGAACAAGGTTGGGCGGTTGGGGTCTCCACTCCACACTTTTTCCTGGTGACATACTTTCGTTGTCATATCATTTTTACCTCTAGACTCTAGACGGTTTTAGATATCTAGATATCTCAGACTCGGTTCTGTATCTCTAGATTCAAGTGTCGCCTTCTCAGGTCTTCACCACCTCCGCGGCCGAGGGGTCTGCAATCCCCAAGTGTGCTGCTCGGACTGCGAGCTCCGGGCAGATGGGGCACTGGTGATGCAAAGGAAATACGGACGGCAGGCTACGGCGGCCATGGTTTCGCGAATGGGTGCTATGTGCACTTAGATCCCATGTGGCACTATGGTTTTAGCAGTCTGTAGTGTCGATGTCAGGGGATTTCTTGAGACCACCAGCTGAATGGAATGCCTGAAGATTAGGATTAAAGTGCTTTGCTGAGATGAAGGAACCGATGATAAGATCTCGTAATGGGCTTCTCCGTGTAGTGAAGGGATGCAGGGATGCGAAGGGCTTGAACAGTACTCGCAGTGAGTAGGAATTAATTTGCACAGAGAACGGGTGGAGCACTCCAAGAACGGCCTTGGGATCTAAGGCAGCTGCCATGAATTTCATGGGCCCTGCCCTGAGAGGTTCTCATGTCAAATCAGTGGAAGAACAGGTCACATGGATGAAGTTGGGAATGTGTGAATTTGTGGAATCTTCCACACCCTTGTGCAAGCTATTCTGAAAGACATGGATGAGAGAGTGTTGAGGTGGGATCTTGTTTGCTCTCGGTGGCTTAGTTCTGCGGCTTGCCTGCAGCTGGGTGCCGAAGAGTTTGAGATGTTCTGCGCTATGAGGTTTTTTCCTCACATGTCTGCGGAAAGCAACATGTGTTATCTGGTGGGCTCACTGCTCTACACCATTGCTAGCAGCCTCAGTGTCGCCCGACTGAGATTTGGAGGATGTCGCTCCGCACTCGTGATGACTTGAAAGGCCATAGAGTTTTAGATGATTGAAAGGACAACGATATACAGTAGAAGGATGGGCCCAGGCGGCCCAGTTGCAGACTTGTGCCTTCAATTCGAGGCAATCCTTCCCTCAAGTGATCACGAAAGCTAGCATCAGCTAGCTGGAGTTGCTCTTGCTTTAGCAAGTCAAGGGCTCGCAGCCTCGAGAATCATGAATCACGTGAAAACTTCACGTGTAGGGCCCCCCCCCCGCGGGTTCAACTCCCCCCTGGGACGCTTCCGGTACGTGCTATAGTGCTATGTTTAGGTGGCAGGTGAAGTAGGCCACTGTTTGAGTTTGGAAGGGGGGGCATGAAACATGAAATTTACGCGAGGGTTCAAGGCTTCAATGATGAGCATCACGGGAAGTCAGAAACCAGGCGTATCAGATACAAGTGCCTTTGAGCTTCCTTCGGCATCTCAGTGCATATGGCTGACACTTCACTCGACAAAGATGCTCAAACAAACATACATAAGCCAGGTGTATCTGATACGCCTGGTTTGTGACTTCCCGTGATGCTCATGATGCTGCGTTGCTTTTCTTCAGTCCCTCATTACATATACATGACAATCCAACAGCAGATTCAACAAGCTCACATGTTCATGACATCGACATCGATAGAAGAAACCAAACAAATCATGCAAGCAGCTTTGTTTTGCCTCTGGGACACCTCTTGGGCACCTCTTATGGCATCCACACTGGTTCAACTCCTCCGTGGAGGTTTTGGGATACAGTGCAACAGATTCAACAAGCTCACAGGTTCGTGAACACATCGGATGCATCGAACAGTGTGGCAAAGTCCAGCCACGCTTCCTTAATTATCGGGGACTTCAATTCTAAGGTTGGCTGTGTCATTGCTGTTTGTGTGTCTTACATGTTCACAACGTTTTACCTCATGAGCATTTGCCTCACTCCGCTTGATGTCCCACCAGTCCGGATGCACCCCTCCTAGCTTTCGTCACCTACCCTCGGCCTCAAGTTTTGGATCTTCAGTCTTTTGATGTCCATGCTGTGGGCCTTTGGGGGGCCAAGGGCCGCCGTTGTCTCAGGTGATTTTGTGGAAGGCCTGCATCAGACGCTTGTAGCTGGCCAGACGAAATAGCGAAAAGGCAGCTGCGAAAAGGCAGCTGAAGGGCCTGGGCTTCTCACAGCTCGCTTCCAGGACGAGCAGTTTGGCTTGGCCTACTTGGCAGCTTTGAACCACATGAGCGGCCAGGCCTGGAGCGTGCGGTGCTTCAAGTTAAGCTGGTGACTTCAAACACTATCTAGAAAGTAGCCATAGCTCTGACACAACAATAGGCATCATTGAATCAAATCTGCCAGGTGCTAAGCATGCTGATGTCTACTGATATGTGTGCGTGTAGAGTATACAGTACGCCATTCTTTGCCGTTCATTCACAGTTAGGCAAACATGCCTGCCAATCCACGGCAAAGGATCGTGCACGATCCTGGATTGGTGGTCAGCAATCTGGTGCATTTTCAGCTCCTTCGCGGCGATGCTGCCATGAATTCATGAGTTTTCTGCATTGTGATTGTTTGTTTCTCAGAGAATGACCTTAAGGTGAGAGGAATTGTATTCATCCACCTCTACTGCGTCGTGTCTGTCGTTGTTGCTTGGCTTGACTCTTGGGCAAGTGCCTGGCTTGTGGCAGAGATGGTTTGCCCAATCTAGGACAAGCATGAGGTCGGTAAACAGTTGACAGATTTTCAGTGAATCAACTTCAATCCGCCCCAAAGGAGGTTGGCCTTACTATGTGGACTGACTCAGATGAATCACGTTCCCCACTCGTCCCGCAGGCAGTGATGAACTTTTGCCTCTCCTTGAACCACTTCCTAAGTTCTCCTAACCTCTTCACCATGACCCGTGCGGGTAACGATGCTTGGAGAGCATGAGGCGATGCGACCATTGCATCAATGTGTGCACAGAAAGCTTATTCCGCTAAAGTAAATTGTGTTGGTAAGGCCGAAGCAAGGACCACCACAAGCATTGTCCCACTCAAGGGGTGCTCATTGCTTTGGTTCAGATGAGGAATCAAGCTGAGGAATTTCTGCCTTTTGTCTTGCTCCACTTGGTCTTGCTCATGCACTCTGCAGTGGTGAAGACTCCAAAGACCCAGCCCTTTCACGCACTGCTCTCAGCAGCAGGGGTTGCATGCGTGCTTTGCCTCGGATTTGAATGGCTTTCAAGCTGGCCTTGCCTTGATGAAGCCGAGGCTTTGGTCATGTCACTTCGCTTCATTACAGTCGTGTCTTGGACGCAGGAGGTTGAACCATGTCGTTGTGGCTGGGGGGACAGGCCGAAGGCAACGTTCTGGATTTTAGGGTCAGGGAGTCAAGGAGAGCTGTTTGGGTGGAGTTGGTTAGATTTGGAACCTCTTGGGCGAAGAGAGGTGATCATGCTCCTGGCACTGGGCACTTTCATCGCAGGCAGCTTGGCGTAGCCCCACGGTGGAAGCGGTGGAGGGTTTAGGGTAGGCGCCCCGCTCTGCAATCTAAAGGGGCATGTGGAAGGGAGCCTCTAAGATCAAAACTCTTGAACCAAGCACTTCACCGAAGTTAGGTCACCGCTGCCCATGCCTTTGGCCAGCCAGACGTAGCCAAAATTGAGTTGTGTTTCTCAACCGGAAAGCAGCGGGGTGACAAGAGTGAGAGCAAGAGTCAGTCTACTTTCTTTGCAATCTATACGGTTCTTTGTTTTTTTTGCGTCTCTTTGTTCTTGACTCTGCCAATGTAGATTGAATGAAAGACAGACCAGCTGTTGTAGTCATTGCATCTCATGGCCAGGCCTCATGCATCCTCCTCCGCCTCCCATGATTGAGCGCCACTCGTTGCGTTGGCACTTCCGGCCACGACCTTTGATCATTTGAAGCTATGGCAGCTATGGCCGCACGGCCGCTGCCGCATCCAAGTGACCTAAGAGCATGATGACCGAGCGAAACTTCTCCTTTGAACAAGACCTGGCCCGAAGTGGGGGATATTGGGAGATGCTCATCCGTCACCTGTGAATTGCGGCCTTTGTGGTTGTTAAACCCACTATAATTGAGAATCGTTTCTGATAGTCAGAGAGAGTGAGAGTCGCGAGAAAATGTGTATGGCGCGATGGGGATTATATAATGATGCAAAAAATCATGCCTTTCGAAGCCATCTTCATTTTGCTTGGAAAGACGCCATTGAAGCTGTAGATCGAAGCCTATCCTGAGAGAGGCACTTCAAGGCTTTGCACTCATGTCCCCACTTTTTCCACGATTCTTCTTGACGTTTTGATACAAGTTGTGTCCCACAGGCCGAAGAATTCCAGTGTTGCGATGAACATTTTCCAGAGGAACAGTTTTGTAAGGGGCAAGGCTATACACTGTGTTTCGTGGTACGGGCTGCTCAAAGCACACACCAACTGCGTTTTTGAAACTTGGGTGATCTAACCAACCATGTCAAGTATTTGCTGCGTTTTTTGGGCTTCGCCCTCGCCATGTCCTGCCTGCCCTGCTGTTTTGGGGGCCGGGCCGCTTGGGCCGCTGGCTGCCGCGCAGATGCACCCCGCGCGCAACTGAGCTCCGGGAGCATCCTCGGGGAATACGCTGGGAGTTCCGAGCATTTTGCCGGCGTCCCCTTCGCGCAGCCGCCCGTGGGCCAGCTTAGGCGTGAAGAGAGGGTTGTTTGGGGAGGATGGGGCATGATTCTGATTGCGGTACGATGGGTAAGGACTTGCACTTTGGAATTTCTCCTGGATTTCGCAGGTGGAAGAAGCCGGCACCTGTGGAGCCGTGGCTTGGCGACCTAGACTGCACTTCCAATCGTGCAGAGCGCCTTGGGCGGCCAGTGCAGGCCGTGGCGCCTCATGAAGATCGCCAACCTGCAGAGGCGCGGCCGGGTTTCCTTGGGGCTGGAGGGTGCGGCCGGTGGCTCGTTTTATGGAATGTTTATGCTTTTGGGTAGATGTTTGTTTTTGTAAAGATGCCTTTGTGGTCCCCGCAGCCACTGCATCGTGGGATTTTGCTGAGCCGACAGGATTGTCTCCACTTGGACCTGTGGCTTCCGCCTGGAACACTGGCCTCACCAATGAAGAAGCAACTCCCAGTACTGGTTTGGATCTATGGGGGTGGATTGCTCTCGGGATCCAAAGATGATCCGGGCTCCTCGGGGCAAGGCTATGCCGAACAGGGGGTGATCTTCGTTTGCATCAACTACCGGGTGGGAGCTTTAGGCTTCCTTTGTCCACGCAATGGTGATGCCAACTGCGGACTCTGGGATCAGGTCTCTGCACTGGAGTGGATCCAAAGAGAAATCGGAAACCTCGGGGGAGATCCAGCGCAAGTGACCATCATGGGGCAGTCTGCTGGAGGAGATTCAGTCTACTGGTCCGCCCGTCGAGCTTGTTTGATGACGCGCGCCTGTGGCCTCTGAGACGTTTGCCACACCTTCCTTTTGCACAAGCAGAGTCAGAGAGCAAGGCAATGTAAAAAAAAATATTTATACACATAACTCTCTCTCTCTCTCTCTATTGATTTTGCACATATGATTCATATGATGTATAACTTCTCGTGGGCAAAGGACTTATTACAGAGAACATCTTGACGCCCTAGTTGGCACTTGTACCTTTGCAGATGCTTAGTTCCAACCAAGTTTGAGTCTCGCCATGGGTTGTTGCGGTGGCGATGATGACGACGAGGACGTCAATGACAACCCCGGACCTGATATTAGCAGAAGGCAGTTGGAGTGAATTCAATTGAGATTATTCAAAGCCCACTGCTCGAATGAAAAGCCACTACGTTCGCTCAAAGGTTTGGTTTGATTGATGCTTTGCCGCAGGTGCACAGACCTGTGCTGCAGCTTGGGCCGAACTGGATTTCAGTCCGTTCGGTTTGGTTTGTTGTGGTTTGTCCTTACAGTCTTGGACTTCCTGCAAGAGGCATTTTGGAACCCGTGTGCCTCAGGCTTGCCAGTGCTATTAATCTTCACCCTGTGGCCATTGTCCGTCATCCTTTTGCTCAAGGACCCCGAAGTGATTTTTGGCTTTAGCCCGAGACTGAAGCTTCCAGGACGTGGATGGAGCTCTTGCCCTCACTCATGGGCATGACCACTACGGCCAGTTCTGTGGCCGAGAGAAGTTGAGAGACAAAGGGTATGTGTTCTATCCGGACCTGTCAACTGATTTGAAGCAGGCCCGTGCTTGATTTGGGCATTTGAGACCACTGGGCCACCGGGTTGTTGGTGCCTGTGGCTTTTGCCTTCGCAGGACCCTTCGCTCATGAACCGCTATGGAGTTTGTGTCGAGAAGTGCCCTGACCAGTTTGGCAAAGCAGAAGACTATCCCGGAGAAGGTGGGATGCCGATGAGATACCCGGAGAATCCCACATGGCACCTTGGACGGCATTGAGAATCCACATGGCCTTCCCTCCACACCTTCTCAAGCCTCACTCACAGGCTCGCAGATTTGCCGACCTTTGAATTAGCTGGGCGGTGCATTCCGTATGACCCACCGCCCAACTACACAACGGCTGTGGAGAGCCTGGGCTGCACAAATTCACAAATCAAGCAGCACTGAGCAGATGGTTTGTTCATTTTCTTTGAAATTGAGGAACATGCGCCAGAGGAAGCTTGCAAAGGAACTCCTCCCAGAAATTGTTAAACACTCAGGTTTTGTGGCGACCCCCAGTGCAAAGTGATCGACAAGCAATCTATGAAGCTGGAGCTGAATTATGTGCGACCATTCTTTCGATTTTTTCTTCAAACAGTGTGGACACACTAGGGGTTCTTACGGTCAGGGTGAAGCACCGGTGTCTAATCGAGGTGTTGCACCGGGGCGTCCGGCTAATTTGCTGCTATTTACAGTTCAGTGCATTCATGCCTCTCGAAATCCGTTAAATGCACTTCGACTGCGCAGGTTCGCAAAATCTGGTGGGCTGGCGCGGGTGCTTGTTGCGACTGCGCTCTCGTTGGGGTGCCGTGCGCATTTTCGGACAGGCGCAAGGCGCAAGGCTAAGGGAAACCTTGTGTTTTGGTGGTCCAGGCGCAAGGGATCGGAGCGGCTTTACTCCGAAAAGTAGGCTTCGTGACAGGCGCTGCACTTTGGGCATGGTGGTGATCTTCGACGCGCTCTGACTTCGTGACAGGTGCAGTGAATCGTGTTTTTCTGCATGTGGCTCGTTTTCAGAGATCGTGGCAAGTGCAGCACACTTTGTGGACCTTGAAGTGCAGATTTCGTGGCAGGCGCAGTACTTTGTGAACCTCGAAGTGCAGATTTCGTGGCAAGCACAGCGCTTTCTGAACCTTGAAGTGCAGATTTCGTGGCAGGCACAGCGCTTTGTGCTCTCAGATGCTCACTCTCACTCACTCTCTCACTCACACCGTTCTCACTCACACTCGCACACGCTCACGCTCACGCTCACTCACGCTCACTCACCTCACCTCACCTCGCCTCGCCTCGCCTCGCCTCCCCTCGCCTCGCCTCGCCTTGCCTCGCCTCGCCTCGCCTCCCTCACCTCACTCACCTCATTCACCTCACTCACTCCCTCACTCACTCCCTCACTCACACCCTCACTCACTCACTCCCTCCCTCCCTCTCTCCCTCCCACTCACTCCCTCCCTCCCTCCCTCCCTCACTCACTCACTCACTCACTCACTCTCTCTCTCTCTCTCACATTCAGTCTCACTCCACCACCGCCATCACCACGATCTCCACCTTCATCACCACCGCCACCTTTGTGGACCAAAATGTGTCCAAAAGATCCCTAGACTCTCTGCTGCTACACCTCTAGGCTCTAGACCTCGCACGCACTGTTTGGGGTCTCTTGCCGGGATAGCTTGCATAGGTTTTTTGTTTTTTGGGCACTGTTTTGTAATTTTCATCGCCCGTTTCGCCCCAAGGCCCAGTAGTCCACGTGAAGTATGTGGCTTGCACAGGGACGGCACCTGGAACTTTTGGCTTCTGGAAAAGGCAGGCGTTTGCTCGGGAACTTGAGCCTCTTGAACTGAAGTCTTGCGGCATCAGTTTAAGGATCTAGTCTCAGAACACGAAGCAGCACGTAGAGAATCACTGCTCTGCTCCTTTTGCGACTCCACTTTTTTGTGCTCGCCAAACCTGAAATGTGGAGGTGTGATGAGGTGTGATGGTTGTCTAAACATCGTTTGGTCCTTCCTTTGGTCTTCCCTGTCGGTTGACTATCCATTTTGGAAGCTGCGCTCGTCTGAAGGCCGATGATGCTCTTGTGGATGGATGGCGGCGGGAAGGCGTTGAACCGAAGGCCGGAGATGGTGGGTCCGATGGAGTTTGGAGGTTGACAGAAGGAAAGTATATCAGAAAAAAGGAAGGTCAGGTTCCCTTAAAGCGGGGCATTCCTTGCATTCCTTTTTTAGATATCAATCTTACGTATCCGTTTAAAATTGTCCATTTAGAATTTGTAGCCTTGTCATTGTACCTTGGAAGGTTTGGGAGGTGGCCTTTGTGTCGGAATGACGGCAGAAAACCTTCACCTATGCCAACTATTGTGCACAAAGACGAGGTTTTTTGTTGATCTCAGGAGCGCTACTTCTTGTAGGGCTAAGACCCCAGGCTGTGGGCAACAAGCAAAAGAGGTAGCCACACTCTTGGCTGAAAGCCCAGCTCTAAGGCCTCTAGGGTACTCAGTGCCATTGGAGCACGTGATCGCAGCCATTATCTTTGTTGGGCGGGCACTGACACCACTTGTGCAGGACTGTTGTGTTCGTCAAACTACCTACCCGTTTTTTTAAAAGTTGCATCACTTTGATGTGCATAATGTAATGCTACACACATAAATACAACGGTAACGCTTAACTTCTTCATGGACGCGCAACCTGATGTGCCCCTTTGCTGGCAAGATGCTTCGACAGACGGGGGCATGCTGTCTCTGGCAAATGCAGCTGTTACACAGGAAGTGCAAGACGCTTTAGCACCAGTGATGAGTGGCAGCCGGGAGGATTTCCAGAAACTTCTTTCCGCACTTGCCTCTCCCCCTTCTAGTGTTTGCCTTCGTTGCACATCTATTGACTGGGCTTCTACTATGAATCGCCAGGATGGCAAGGCGGTTTGTCCAGGGTCGACGGACCTGGAGGGCTACATCAAAAGAGGGCTTCTAGAAATCGCGAACGAGGTTCCTGCTACCGTTTCCTTCCACCTGGAGAAAGCGCCTGCTCCAGTCCATTGCCCGGAAGCTCGGATCATCATCGGCCAGGGTGGTAATCCCAGCGCGACGATTGCCGGCTACAACACGGCTACCGGACCTGCCAAAGACAGCGTGGAGGCGGATTTCATCATTGATGCCACCTGTGGTATGGCCGTGCTGCGTGGGGCCGATGTGTTTTGCATGGGCGTCATGGGCGCCAGTGCTAAGCTGGTGGAAGGTCAGCGGGTGCGCCTCTGGGTGGTGCCGGAGGGTGTTAGGCCACCGAACCGCGGCACTGTCTTGGTGGAATCACCTGCGAAGTGGCCCGCTGTCCTGGTGGCTGGGGGCCGGGTGCTCTTGCCGAGGACCGCCATCTTCGCTAGCGCGTTGAGGGGCCCGAAAGGTGCTGCAGTGAAAGTGTTGTGGCGACGTGGGCAGGGTGCGCCATTGGCACCTATGAACCAAATCTTAGCCAATGCAGAGTTGCAAGGAAGAGTTTTGCTTCAGCAGTTGCCCAGTTGCCTGTGTACTCGAGTCTTGAGCCCTTGTCCAGGACATCAAGTTCTTGATATGTGTGCCGCGCCTGGTGGTAAGACCACACACATCGCTCAACTGCTGGGCCGAGGCTTGGGCCTCACATCCATTGATCGCTCCTTGGCCAAGGTCCGCCGCATCGAGGCCCTTTGCATGGCACACGGCTGTGATCAGGTGCGATGCCTGGCGGCGGACTCGCGGCACCTCCTCCGTGACGTTGCTGTGATGGGGTCTGGTTCAGAGGGCTGTGACGGTGATGGCCTAGATGAAGCCCCATGGCCACCTGAAGCTGAGGCAGCCTTCCAAGAAGCCGTGTCACAACACGGTGCCGACCGCTTCCGTAGCAGCAAGCGGATCTGGAAGGCGGTGATTGCAGCAGTGGGGCGGGGCCCAGTGACGCGGATGCAGGTGAATGCACGCCTTCGCGCAGTGGAAGGGCAGTTAAATCGGCCACCAGATGCTGGAGGCCCATCAGGGCCGCCCTTCGCAGAGAGGTCCTTCGATCGCATTCTGCTGGATCCACCCTGCTCAGCAATGGGGCAGAGACCACTACTCCGATGGGGTAAGAGCATACCAGAGATTGAAAGCCATGCAGACTATCAGCGACAGTTCTTGTCCGCAGCCAGCAAGCTTTTGGCGCCAGGCGGTGAGCTTGTGTATAGCACGTGCACTTTGACCCCGCAGGAGAATGAGGAGAATGT